AAAATGAAAGAAAACTAAATATTAGAAAACTAACCACAGCAGTGTGTGTGTGTGTGTGTACAAGGAGGCTTTAAAAACCTGATGGGAAAATTCCATATTTTAATTCTATTTTTTCCATGAACTTTTAAAACCCTCTTAAATTAAGACCTAGTGAACTTTTTGTTTTTGTTTTTAGGACTGGAACACTGGTTGAATAGTAGAACATTGTAAGTATAATGTAATTAATTTGTAAATACTCCAGAGATATTTGGAAAAACAATACACATTTTAAATCTTGCTTTCAGCTACCATCAAATTGCCTCAAACTCTTGGTGCCCTTATACTTGGTGACCTTATATGAAACGGAACGAAACTTTGCCCTGTATCATCCATGAATGTGGGGAAGTGTAGAAGGGACGATGTTTCATAAGCTTCTTAGGTGTAAGCAAACTCCTTGGAGGAATGAGTGTCTGGACCCGGGGACCCGAGACCTTAGTCATGAGAGGGGGCCAGGCGTCTAGATCAACTGGTATAACACAGTTCACAAAGGTAATATTCTACATCCTACTTTAAGGTGCAGTTTCTATAGTCTGAAAAGCTTGCAGGCCATCTAAGAGGCAAGTATCGACCTCTCCTCATCAGGGGCAAAGAAGAGTGAAGGAATTAAAAGACTTAGGGAAACAGTCCAAAAGACTCATAAACCACGCAAACCACCACCTCCACTGCCGCGAGACCAGCAAAACTAGATGGTGCCCGGCTACTACTATCAACTACTCCGGGATCCAATTAGAAGGTCTCAGTCCAAGAGGGAGGCACAAAAACAGAGAACAAAATTAAAAATTATTATAAAAGGCCAGATTTACTAGTCTGATAGAGAATGATAGAAACCAAAGTCTGGGGCCCTTAGGCACCCCTCCAGCCTGGGCCTGAACCCATCCTAGAGCATCACCATCCAGTCAAACACCAGCTAGGTCTATAAAGTGAATAATAGCACCAGGAATAAATGTACTCCTCCTTATAATCAAAAGAAAAAGTTGCCCTTGCACCAAAAGAAAGCTCAGGATGGAGATGAAGGACCAAATGGAAGTAGGAAACTCAGGGAGAAAATGAAAAATGATATGGTTACTGCGGTACAGAGTGAATTACCAGGTAGACTTGTTAGATTCCTGGTCTCCATCTTGGATCTATTGAGTTTCTCAGGGTGAGTGATTCTAATGCATACTAAAATCTAGGTGTTGTAAAATAAAATATTCACTAAGGATCAAAAGTATCTGTAACATTTGAATGATTTTTACCAGCAGCATCTTGCAATTACTTGAGAAAAAGAAATGGCTGGGTATATCCAGAATCGGGTTCGAACAAGAAGAGTGTAGAAGAAACTAAAGGAGTAAGAGAAATTTGAGAGGCAAGTAAAAGGAGCACCATTAACCTGGATAATGATGTGGTAAGAACTGGGTGGAGCGGGAGGAGTTGAGGACTGGAATTTATAAGGAGGATATAAGGCAGATTTGTGTAAGTCAGAGAGGAGGCAAACTGTGGAACTGGAAGTACAGTAAGGGGAGGTGTTTAGGTGTTAAAAGATTTTGAAAGTGGAGCAGAACTGGGTGATAACATGGTCCCAGGCAGTAACCACATCGTATAAAAGGCTACAGAAAGACTGGAGATGAATTTGGTCAGGGAAGTGGGGTAAGAGTAAAAGGCAGTTACTTTTATGACTGCAAAGGAAGCCAGGCCTGTTTCAGCCTGGGACCCCATGGGTAAACCACAAACTAGGGGGGCAGAGAGGGATGGAGCCAGGGGGCACAAGAACTGCATAGGCTGACCTTGGAGATTCAGCTTGGCATGACATCCACAGGAGTACAATTTTAGAACTGTGGCAACAAGAATAATCATGCATTGGCAAAATTGGCTGACAGAGAACCTCTCAGATAACTCTGTAGCTATAGCTGGGGTATTTTACTATATAGAGTGCTCATTGGCAGGTCTTTGGTACTTAAACTATCAATTTCTTAACAGTAGGAACCTCTCTAATGCATTTTTAAATTTCTTCTGCTTAGTGCTGTGACAGGCGTTTGGTAAATGGTCCCCAGTTGTTCTGGATGAATGAGTGATTGAAAGGAAGGAAGCAGTCCCATGGTTTCAGGAGTGAGAGCACTCCTGTGAAGGCCCCTCTCAGCTGAAGGGAGGGAGAGATATTATTCAGTGCTTACCTTCTCTGAATGCTTAAATATACACATGGCATCTGTATGTGTGTGTATACATGTGTATATATGTATATACATATGCATGTGTGTATACACACCTGTATAGATATATACATATGTGTCTATTCATATGACATATACATCCAGATGGAGTGACACAGCGGCTGCAACAATGGACTCAGGTATAGGACCCAGTGTGAGGATGGCATCCAGGCAGCATTTCCTTCTGTTGTGCATAGGGTCGCTGTGGGTTGGAACCGACTCAATACACTTAACACAACAACACACATATGTCATATATATATATATATATGGCTGCCGAGAAATGTGAGTGAGCTATACTAGGCATAAGATGGAGGTGAAAATGTAACTGTCACTTGGAGTTAGAGTAAAAGAAAACAAATATTTTATGTTCCTCTGACAGAGAACTATATGTTCAGTACATTTAACTCTGAGTAGGTTCAAACCTCCAGCTTTTCAGTTCGTCACCGAGTATGTTAACCATTCAGTTACCTTGGAGATCTGGTGACCACTTTAGACTCCCTTCAATCCATTGTCCACCTCAAAGTCAGGATGATGTCTTTAAAAGTCAAACACATTTGTGCTCATGTTCCTGTTTAAACCACCTACATGACATATCATTCCTTATAGCCCTCAATACAGGCCAGGAGGCTCAGAATGATCTGATCCTTGGCCACTGCTTCTGTTTCCTGTTGGACCAGGCTTCTTTACTCTGCCTGGGGCCCAGCCACGGTGGTTTTGCTTGTTTGATTTTTAAAATATTATTCCTTGATAGGAAGCATGCTTTCCCTACTCCTTCATCCAAGGCCTTTCTTTGTTCATGTACTTTCCCCCAAACTTTATGTAAAATCCTCCATGATTCCTTCTGATCTCAGCTTAGACATGACATCCTTGGAGAAGTCATCAGGGGTCTCTGACAAGGTCATGTCTCTTTGAAACATGGTACCAATCTTCTAGCACATGTCTCTGTTGCGATGTTATGTACTTGTATATATGATTCACTCACCCATGTATAGTCTTCTTCACTCTACTCCAAGCTCCATGAAGGCTAAGTAAGAACCCCGTGGGCTTTTGCTAAGTGCAGTGCGTGGCACATAATGAGCATGCCATAAATATTTGTCAGATGAGTAAATGACGAGACCGAAGAACACCCTTGTTTGCTATTAGTTGAAATCACAGTCATAAAGTCTTGTTCCTCTGGTCCATCCACTGGCACTTGGGGAAAGTGTGGTAACTTCTAGACAATGGTATCCATGCTAACTTAAGCAGGGGTTGATGCTAAAATGTTGCTTTTTTGCCTTGGCTCTGCAATGCTTCTTCTCGGGCAAGTCAGAACTTCTGCAAGCTTGGACTCTAGGTCTCACCTGCAGATAAGCCTTCTCCTTTTGCCTGTGGACTCTCAGCAGCTGTTTTCCCCACACGCCCTTTCTGCTTACCTCCTCAGCTGGAAACAAGGGCCTCCTGCAAAGTAAGCAAGGGCCAGAAACAGAACCGACTTCTCTTCAGGAAGGTGGGGAGGAAGGACTCAGACAGCTTCTAACAGGCAGATGTGACTGCTGGAGTCTCTTTCTCCATCCCTGAAGGCAGTGGGTCTTATGAGTCTCCGAGTGCTTTCATGAAGCCACTCCAGTGATCCTGGAAGAAAAGGAGAGTGATGAATCTTGTAAAGCAGCAAACTTACACTATCTGCTTTGCACAAACTCACGTCGATATTTGACCTGACAAACACAGTCCGTGGCTGGTGAAGATGTGGATTCATCAAACTTAAGTGATATAACCTAATAGAAAAGCCATAGCAAGGTGTGTTTACCCCTACTTTCTTGTTTACTTGGGATGACAAGAGGTGAAACCTCATATATTTGATTAGGTCCATTTACCTTTCATTTCTGTGTAACTGGGGGGACATAGACCATTCTATCTCAGTGCTCTCCATTCAGTACACAGTTTTACACTGCTCTTGTTTATTTTCGATGCACTCTGGGAAGTATCTTCCTGGTAAGTGAAGATGAGAGACCCTGGGTTGTGCAAATGGTTAAGCCCATGATCAGTAGATGAAAGGTTGGTGGTTCGAACCCACCCAGAGACAACTCCGAAGGCAAATCTGCTCTACACAGGTGAGGTCTCTAGGCCATGGAACTGCCTCGACAGCATCTCCAACAACAACAACTGAAAAGGAGAACCTGGGTTTTCAAAGTGGACTGGCTTCTTCAGAAGAAAGCCTTAGAATGCAATTCCTTCTCCAGTTTGCTCATTCTTACAGCCCACGCTCTCCTCAGCTAATGAGATCCAGCTTCTAGAGCCAGGGAAAAGACCCCCATCCTGTCCTACTGGCGTGGTGATGGTCTCTCTATGTTAACGTCCCCACCTTTGAAGGCAGTGGTTCCTATAAGGCCCTGGTGGCATCATGAAGTCTTTGAAGTGATACTGGAAGAAAAAGAGAGTCACACATCTTGTAAAACAGCAAACTTTAGTGTTCTTCATATTTTCTAGTTTGTATAGAAACTCTTTTAGAAAAGAATGTTTATCTTAGACCTACATGGACTTGATGATTCTAAACTACACCCCAACCACCCACTGTAGAAAAAAAAATCAGAAGCTTGTAGTTGTGTAACATGTAAATCTCATCTGGCCTGGGGCCCATCGTCACTGTGGTTTGGCACAGAACACAACATCTCTTTTCTCATCTCTTTAAAAAAGAGAGAGAGAGACTATCTTGAACATAAAGGTAATGATTAATCTCTTGGGCACAAAAAGGCAAGTTTTGGGGATTTTGGGCTCGAACTCACTGACTCAAACAAGCAGCAGCTGAATAAGGGGGTGACAGCTTCCCCAGAAGAGGATTAAGTCTCAGCCTCTAATTGGGACGGCATTGTTACAGTTAAGAGACTCACCAGGCACCTCCAGGAATCTGTCGGTAGGGGTCGAAATCACCATTTCCATGGGAGAGTGAAGGGAAGGACCAGAACCGACAGAGTGGTGGAGAGTAGTCCTGGGAGAAACATCAAGATGCAGTCTGAGAAGAAGAGCTTCAAGAAGAAACTGGTTTTGAAGAGCAGCTTAGCTAAGGAAACCCTATCCGAGTTCTTGGGCACGTTTATAATGATTGTAAGTATTTCCTGATTTCCTACATTCTGACCGTGTAACCCTTCCCTGTCTGCCTGTCTCACGGTGGAGAGTTCGCCGGACTTTGTTTTGAAGTTAGATTCATCTCTTTCAGGATGGAAAAATGCCCTTTCTGGGCATTGTTGGCTATTTTAGTGATCACAATATTACATTTTTGTCTATTTATGTCATTTATCTACAAAGTTTAAAGAGAGTGGGGTGGAGGGGGACTGAAGTGGTATCATCACTTGGGGGATTCACTCAGACTTTGATAAGGCTTTTGTGATTTAAAAATCACTCATTTGAAATTTTTCTTATTGATTAATTGATTTGTACCCTGCTTGTCCTCCACAAGTTATTGGCAGTCAATAAATATAAATGTCAAGAAACAGCCCATTATAGCAAGTACTTGGCAAGAGATTATGTTGTACAACTTTCCTCTAGTTCTTAAATGCTTCCTCCCCCCAACTATCATGATCCCAATTCTACCTTACAAATCCAGCTGGACCGGAGGATGTACACTGGTACAGATGGGAACTGGAAACACAGGGAATACAAGACAGATTGACCCTTCAGGTCCAGTGGTGAGAGGGGTGATACCAGGAGGGTGGAGGGAAGGTGGGGTAGAAAGGGGGACCCGATTACAAAGATCTGCATATAACCTCCTCTCTGGAGGTCAGTCAACAGAAAATTGGGTGAAGGGAGACGTAGGACCGTGTAAGATATGATAAAATAATAATGACTTGTAAATTATCGAGGGTTCATAAGGGAGTGGGAAAGGGGAGGGAGGGGGTGAAATGAGCTGATGCCAAGGGCTCAAGTGGAAAGCAGATGTTTTGAGAATGTTGATGGCAACAAATGTACAAATGTGCTTGACACAATGTATGGATGTATGGACTGTGATAAGCATTGTATGGGTCCCCAATACAATGATTTAAAAAAAAGAGAGATTATGCTGTCAGATCACCTGACCTTTAATCAATTAGAAATTGCCCTTGGTAGCAATACCATTCTGAGCAACAGTACAGCCTTGTTTTGTATCATTTTCAGCTCCATCTAGTTTCAGCTGATCTGTAACAATCTTTAATTAGACAGTTATGAGAACTCTCTAGGCTTCGATGGAGGACTGGTTCTAAGAGCCTCCTGAGGATTTTGCCCAGTGATTTCCTCAGTTGTGAACAAGCTGCTGCACAGTTCTCCCCCCGGCACTGGTTGTCATCTTCTTGTGGACTCCTGCTTTCTCTGGGTCCCAAATTCTTCGCTGGAGTCAGACCATTTGTGTATGGGGACTGCTGTGCTTACTTATTGTCCTGTGTAGCAACTATTGGTTTTAAGGCACTTCAAAACAAACAAACAGTATGACTCAGAGATTTATATTTGCTAAGTATGAATCATTTCCTTTGTCTTAGATTTATTAAGCATTCTCTATATATGCCATACATAAAAAGCTCCATGCCTTGGGCCAATGTATAATGGTTTAGGAAGATGTGTAATGGTAAAAGAATATGCTTCGAGTGTATCATGCAAGTCAAGATTGGGAAACGAATGTGAACTCACAAAATTGAGTTAATGTAAAATGGAGAGTCTTGTGTTTCCTGGTCTCTGGGAGCCCCCTTTCCCCTGTTTCACGCAAGTATCTTCAACCTGGAACCTCACCCCTACCCTGTAGGGCAGTGGTTCTCAACCTTCCTAATGCCACGACCCTTTAGTACAGTTCCTCATGTTGTGGTGACCCCCCCCCACAAAATTATTTTCGTTGCTACTTCATCACTGTAATTTTGCTACTGTTATGAATCGGACGCCCCTTGTGAAAAGGTTGTTCAACCCCCAAAGGGGTCTCGACCCACAGGTTGAGAACTGCTGCTGTAGGGGCTGAAGGAGGTAGGAGGGAAAGAGAGTAAGTGAAAACAAAGGATTCTTCCAATTTCACTCACTGCTTACTGGCACAGCACCCTTAGTAGGATAGAGACCCTTCCTCCTGTTGCCTAACAAGTGTGCCCTAGCGAGGAGGAGCGTGGCTGGGGGCTGGTACCACAGGCTGTCTGAAGCCGCCTACTGACCTGCACGACTGAGAAGTGAAGAACATTCGGTGGCCATTCTGTTCTGCGGGCTTTGCAGAACACAGAGAAGGAAGTGAAGTGGACATCCCTTTCGCAACCTAAAAAGTTAAAAACCTCCTTATTTCTTAACCAGAACCTGTTGAATAACCTCACTGCTTCTGAGTTGAGATGACAAAAGCTGTTTCCAGTCATTCATGATTCGATTCATCTAGTGAGTATCAGGCCTTGCCCCTAGGGTTCAAGGCTCTGGCTAAAGAAATAATATCTTCATTATTGTATGTGGAAAAATTGAGCTCTGTTTAGCCTGAAGAAAGCCAACTCTCTCCTGAAAGGCATCCTTTCAAAGTGTACCTACACTCGTTTTCTAAAGCAAACCCTAATGGACCCTAGCAGGGGGCTTCAAAAAAGTGCGTGGAAAAACAGAATTGAAATAGAACAGAATTTTCCCACAATTAAAAAAATCATTTTAGTAGGAGTTCTTATGGATATTATAATAATCCATAATTCACTTAGATCAAGCATAATTGTACAATTGCTGCTACCATCAGATTTTTGTTTCTTCTTGAACTCTTTGATATCAGTGCTCTTTTATCTCCTTCCTCCCCTCCCCTACTCCTCAGGACCCCTTATTATTACATGATATAACTTTATTAATACTAATATTATTATTTTGAAGTATTTTACACCATCCAGTGTATCCATACAGTCATCATTGCTGTCAGTTCTACCTCCCCCTGCCCCTTTCTCCCCCCTCTCTTCCATTAACTTCAAGGAATCATTACTCCCAATACTATTTCTAAAGCATTTGTCTTCTTGGATTTCATGCATCAAATGATCTTAATTATACAAATGAATGTACACAAGTTTTAAAAGATTAATGAGGTAAAACTAAGACCCTAATAGGGCGAGGAAATATTAAAGAACTAGAGAATACTTATGTGTTTTAACAGTGCTATTCTGCACCCTGGATATATCATCCATTCCATGTGGCTCTTCTGTGAGGGACTGTCTAATTGTCTTACAGGTGGCTTTTGGGTCTCCACTTTGTCTAAGCGCCTTCACATCAATTTGATTGCTTACTTTTGAATTTCTGATACTTCATGATCACACAGGCTGGTGTGCTTCTTCCATGTGGGCTTTGTTGCTTCCCTGTTAAATGGCCGCTTGTTTAACTTTAAGCCTTTAACACCCAAGAAGCTATATCTTTTAATAGCCGGGCACCATCAGCTTTCTTCACCACATTTTCTTATGCACCCATTTTGTCTTCAGGGATCATGTTGGGCAGGTGAGTATCATACATTGCCACATAATTAGAACTAACTGTTCTTGTACTGAGATAAGATTTAAGTAGAGGCCCAAATCCATCTGCGTCCTTAGTGCATTCACACAAATATACCTACCTATCTCCATATACTTATATACTTACATATCTATATTTATACATATATACATATAATTTTTACTTTATTATTCTTTCCTCTTTTCCTGTTTTCTTTCCTCTTGGATACATTTCAATTGATCAAACACGACCAGGAACGCTACACCTTTCTCGCCGTCAATTTTAGATCCCATGCTATTCTGCTGTCTCTCTCATTATTTGCTCATTGCTCCCTCCACCCACCTCCTCCTCTCCCATGCCTACCCCCAGTGTTGGTCCCATTGCCGTCTCCCTGGGGTTGCTGATCCTGCCTATCTTATATAGATAGACACCAATAGAAAAGAGAGAGAGAGAGAGAGACCATACAAATACTTCCAAGTCTGACTGTTGTCCTGACCCGTAGTGTATGAGTACCCCTCTGTTAAATAGTGAGCAGGCCCTGTTATAATCCATTGGTCCAATCCCCTTTTCTTTAAGGGATCCATATGCCAGGACCTTCTTACCTAACTCGACTTACACCCTTTTAGTCCTCAGCATTCGTGACTGAGGGGCGTGCCTTCTACAAGACCCCATTGCTCTGCCTGCAGTCAAGGATGGAGTGGTCTAGTGCCCCACCCCTACCCCATTACACCTTTAGACTTTTAGTGTGGCCCCCTTGTGGATATCCCCCAATCAATTCAGATGAGCTGCCAAATGCTGCCTTCACCCTCCACCCCCCAGGCCCGAAGTCCACAATCCAGATTCCTCAGGGATTTCGTGGCTTTGCTCCCATTGCTGGTCTGTTGCACTCGCCTCTTGGTTTTGGCCCCGTGTGGGTGGCTCAGACTGGCAGTACTCCCTGAACTCTATCTTCAGTGCTGTCCTCTGTAGCACTGTCACCTAGGGAAGGGACGTCATGTCTGGATCTCAGGATGGCCCTGAAGTCCTCTGTGTGAAGAGGCTGCTCTGAGCAGGAATGTCACCCTCAGGACTTGGCACACTGGAATGAGGTCTACTGTCTCTCTCCCTTTCTTGTGGAGACATAAACAATACCCTCTCCTTGGGTGGATTAGTACCCTGTTCCCCCATTACCATCTTTTCTTCCCTCACGCCTCTGTGGGTCATAAAGCCATGGGGAGGGGATGTCTTTCTGCACTGTTGCTATATACATCTTTAAAGCCCACCCCCCTTTTGTTTTTTGATGACATATGAATCATTGTGTTTACTATGGCTTTTGCCAGAGTTGCTGATCCTCAGTCCAGGAACTGTGCGATATGTACAATTTCCCTTGTGCCTATTATGTTGTTTGAACTTACCTCGGTGGACTCATGCTGTACTTGTCCTTTTGTGCTTGGTGAACTTCACTTACCATAATGTCCTCCAACTCTTTCCATGAGATGAGGCGCCTCATTGTTTCATCACTGTTTTTTAGGGATGCATAGTAGCACTCCATTGCCCACAAAACTTTTTGAAACCAAGAAGCTTCTGCTCAAACACATTTTATTTTTATTTTTTAAAGCATTTTATTGGGGGCTCATACAACTCTT